GTCTGGGTGACAGAGTGAGACTCCAACTCAAAAAAAAAAAAAAATTATACATGGAACTTTCATATACTTTTCACCCAGATTCACCATTAGTAATACATATACCACATTTGCTTTTTCGTGATCTCTCTATATACATATTATTTTAACCTTTTCATCATGTTTAAATATTTTTGTATATGTATATTTTTTATTAATTGTAGAGACAGGGTCTCACTATGTTGTCCAGGTTGGTCTGGAATTCCTGGCCTCAAGTGGTCCTCCTGCCTCAGCCTCCCAAAGTGCTGGGATTACCAGTGTGAGCCACTGCACCTGACCTATTTTAACCTTTTGGAAGTAAGTTATACTCATGATGTCCCTTTAGATTTAGATACTTCAATATGTATTTCCTATGAACAAAGAACTCCTCTTACATAATCATTGCTCTGTTAATCAAGATTGGCTTATTTAAGTGGGCACAGTGACTCATGCCTTTAATCTCAGCTACTGTGTAATCTCAGCTACTGTAGGCTAAAGTGAGAGGATCATTTGAGCCTAGGAATTGGAGGCTGCAGGAGCTATGATTATGCCACTGCTCTCCGACCCAGGCGACAGAGCCAGACCCCATATCTTTTTTTTTTTTATTGAGTAGAAATCTCACTCTCTGTTGCCCAGGCTAGAGTGCAGTGGCACGCTCACAGCCTCTGCATTCTCGACCTGCTGGGCTCAGGTGATCCTTCTGCCTCAGCCTTCCAAGTAGCTGGAACCACAGGCATGTGCCACCATGCCCAGCTAATTTTTTTTTTTTTTTTTTTTTGAGTTGGTGTCTCACTCTGTTGCTCAGACTGGAGTGCAGTGACTGCTCCCGGCCACCGCAGCCTCGACCTGCTGGGCTCTGGCAATCCTTCTGCCTCAGCCTTCCAAGTAGCTGGAACTACAGGCGCGTGCTACCACATCCGGCTAATTTTTTTTTTTATTTATTGTAGAGATGAGGTCTTGCCAAGTTGCCCAGGCGGGTCTCGAACCCGTGGGCTCAGGCATTCCACTCACCTCACCCTCCCAAAGCATGGGATTACAGGCTGAGCCACCGAGCCCAGCTAATTTTTTTTTTTTTAATTGTAGAGACGAGGTCTCCCCAAGTTGCTCAAGCTGGTCTTGAGCCCGTAGGCTCAGGCAGTCCTCTTGCCTCCGCCTCCCAAAGTGCTGGGATTACAGGTGTGAGCCACCATGCTCAGCAAGACCTCATATCTTTGGGGGGAAAAAAATTGGATCATTTAACATTGATATATTCTATTGTCTAATTTATAGTACCAAATTTTACCAGTTATCCCTATAGTGTCCATTAAAGCAGTCCAGAATCACATACCACATTTGGATGTCATGGCTCTATTACTCTTTAGCCTGGAATAGATTCTTTGTTTGTCTTTTGTGATCTGTAAAATTTTTGGCAGGCCAGTTATTATATAGAATATCGCTCAGTTTCGGTTTTCTTACATTTCTTCATGATTAGACTAAGTTTATGTATTTTTGGCAAGAAAACCATAAAAGTGATGTTATAGCCTTTTGCCTTTTCAATGCATCATATCAGAGACACATGGTACTAATTTGTCTCATTGGTGATATTAACTTTGGTCACTTGGTTAAGGTTGTTTTCTCCAGGTTTTCTTACAGTTGTTATTTTCCCTTTGTGATTAATAAGTATTTTGAACCTGTGTAAATAACTTCTGAAGGTTTTTTTTTTTTTTTTTTGAGTTGGAGTCTCATTCGGTCGCCCAGACTGGAGTGCAGTGGCCGCTCCCGGCCACCGCAGCCTCAGCCTTCCGAGTAGCTGGAATTACAGGCATGCGCTACCACGCCCGGCTGATTTTTTTATTTATTGTAGAGATGAGGTCTCGCTGCCCAGGCGGGTCTTGAACCCGCAGGCTCAGGCAATCCACTCACCTCAGCCTCCCAAAGGTGCGGGATTACAGGCTGAGCCACTGAGCCCGGCTTGAAGGTTTTATCTATTGGTTTTGCATCCATTGATAATATTTGCCTGAATCAATTATTACTCCCACCATTCCTTCTACGTTTATTAGTTGCCATTGTACCATAAGGAAGAGCTTTTCCTTCTTTATTATGTGTATATCAGAATTCTTATTCTATTCACTACATTATAATTGTTTCTTTTTTTTTTTTAATTTGAGTTGGGGTGTCACTCTGACATCCAGACTGGAGTGTCCTGACTCATCGTAGCCTTGGCCTCTTGGGCTCAGTTGATCTTTCTGTCTCAGTCTCTCAAGTAGCTGGGTTTGCAGGCATCTGCCACCATGCCCAGCCAACTTTTTTTTTCTTTTGGGTAGAGATGAGGTCTTACTTTGTTGTGTTAAACTCCTGGGTTCAAGCAGTCTCCTGCCTCGGCCTCTGAAAGTGCTGGGATTACAAGCATGAACCACTGTGCCTGGCAGTAAATCTCTTAACATATGAGTACCCCTCACTTTTTTTCCTTGCAATGTTTGTGGGGTTTTTTGGTTTTGTTTTCTGAGTCGGGGTCTCACTCTGTTTCCCAGGCTAGAGAGTAGTGGCTTACCATAAGCTCAACCTGGGCTCAGGCAGTTCTCCTGCCTCAGCTTCTCAAGTAGCTGAGACTACGTGCTACTCCATGCTTGACTAATTTTTAAATTTTTTGTAGAGATGAGATTTTGCTATGTTGTCTAGGATGGTCTCAAATTCCTGTGCTCAAGTGTTCCTCCCCCCTCAGGCTCCCAAAGTGCTGGAATTACAGATGTGAGCCACCATGCCCGGCAATTTATGTGTTAAAAAAATTGGGTCATTTGTCATAGTTTCCACATACTGGATTTTACTGGTTATAGCCCCATGGTAGCTTTACTAGTAAACTGGCAGTTAGATCTAGAAGCATGGTCACATTTTAAACTTTTGAGGGACCAGATGTGTTTCCTAAGTGGTGGTATGACACACTCTTCATTTTTTCTCACCCCTTCCTAGAGGTTGGAAAGGTGTATGAGCATTGTGACGTCGATGACTGCTGGTGTCTCTGAGAGAGAGGCCAATGATGCCCTCAATGCCTACGTAAGTAGAATGCTCTTTCCGCAGACATTTCTACTGCTGTGAAGCCATGAGATATGACCAACATGATGGAAAGACTAGGTGTGGCTAGGAGCTAGGGGACTGAATAAAGTTAATTCATGTCTTGGCTCCCTGAGCCAGATTTACCCAGTTCTTTCGTTGGGGGAACCGATTTTTTGGCCTCTGGGGCATCTTTAAGTAACACTTTTTTATTTTTATAGAGTCAGGGTCTCACTGTTGCCCATATTAGAGTGCAGTGACTATTCACAGGCATAATCATAGACCATTCATTGCAGCCTTGAATTCCTGGCCTCAAGTAATCTTCCCACCTGAGCTTCCCAAGTAGCTGGGACTATAAGTGTGTGTCATGGAGCCCAGCTTAAATAACAACTTTAAAAAAAAGCTCCTACTTGTAAGGCTGAGGTGGAAGGATCGCTGGAGCCCAGCAGGTCGAGGCAGCGGTGGCTGGGAGCGGCCACTGCACTCCAGCCTGGGCAACTGAGTGAGACTCCAACTCAAAAAAAATTTTAAAAAA